CCCCCCTCCACGACCTACTTATCTGCTCGACATATAAAGAAGGCGCTTGGTGTATGTGACTAATGCTCTGGGTCGAAAAAAGAACGATTACTTAAATACTAGAACGCAAATTCATACTTATTTAGATTTGCTTCATCTAATCCTCCAGCATTACACATCATAAAGCACTAAGGAGTCAGCAAAAAATAATCCCGAGAAATAGTATTTAAAAATATGATTCTTGCTTGTGGTAATAAATAGAAGGAAAGATATTACAAACCACTGTGATGTCGAAGTAGTAGAGATCAGGCACAGTCCAAGTGAGAATAAGCCGAACATCTCGAAAGATCACAATTTATCAATACTTATGCATGTTTGCACAATCGAATAAGCAAATGCTTTATCACACTATTAGACAATAAATAAATTCCGAAAAGTAATTGAGACGGTTTCGATTAGTTAAAATTAGAAAGTCTTTTAAAGAAATTATAAATAGCATAGGGTTGTGTTTGAAATTCGAGTTTTGTTTCCAGGTTACTTGACTAATGTGAAACAGTTAAATGGCGAGTCAGAGCAAGATAGGGGCACTAAAACATTTGTGCTGGTGTGGTAACAACATAGAACAAAAAAAGGCATTCAAGTTTCTCAGTAAATCTATAAAGGCATACACCTCCCATATGGATACCCAAATAACTCGTAAACCAGCTGGAACTAATGAAGAGAGCAAAAGTTAAGAAGAATTACACCAGCTAACGGATCTGGAAATATAAAAGTCGAATAGAGATACAAAGCCTTAAAAACACGCTTATATCTCCTTTAAATACGTAACTTAAGAACAAATGTGTTTGCTTTTACAAATAGCACAAGCTATTTTACTGAATTGAACTTACAGGAGTTGATGTATCCACAAAACCGGAGGACATATCTTCGACATATAACGCACCTGAACCAGACCCAGTAGATCCGGATGGCGGAGAATTAATTCTCTCCCTTGAAAGATCCACAATCAAGGCTGGAGTACCTGTCGAAAGGCTTTGCTGTCTCTTGTAGGGACCACCCGTGTGTGAAGACGCCGTCTCGGGGGAAGAGGCAGACGCTACAGAAGAGGAATTTGAATGACGACGCTCTCGAATTCCTCGTCTCGCCAGAGAAACTGTGGATGATGGCTTTTGTAGCAAAGCATTCAAGAGGGCAAGATTTCCCCCATTTTGTTTTCCTGTCTCTGGTTCCGCGAACCGAATTGGCTTACAGGGAGCTGGTTGAGGAGTCACCTCTGAACCAAAAAAGGGTTTATTCGCATAGCCACATTCCGGAAGAGGATAGGTTCGAAAAGTGGTACCCTGGGAAGAGTAAGGATAGGAGCAGTTCGATATACCATGCTGAAATTGTGGCGCTAATGGCTGATAGTTATGAATAGCTTGAGATGATGTGTAGGAGGAGCCACCTGAATGACGATTGTAAGCACAAGTGCTGGAGTACTCATCCTCCATTATGGTTGGCATGGCTGGTTGCTGAAGTAAACCCGTGATTAGATCGTTTCGATAGCTCTCTGAATTAGGCTGGAGTTGAGTCAAACCGGGTTGCATAATATCAGAATTTCCCAACATAGATGTGTCTCTGGGATCTGGAAAGGGCTGATCCAAAAACAAGTCAAGATTTCCATCAAATTCCTTCATGAGATCGTCAAGAAAACGCGGACTCCCGATACCAGAGGAAGGTGCAACATCATTAATCGCATCCCTATCGTCAACAAAAGGAATTTTGGAGGGAAAATCCAAAGGCAACTCAAAATCTGTGTGGCGTTTATCTGAACGATTTGAAGCTTTGGAGTCTACTTTAGAGCGGAGATGGTTTATGAAAAAGGTTCGCCATCGCCTATATTCAAAAGTTAGCTTTTTTGAGTGCTGATTCCAGAATTTGCCATTCATCACCAAGCACTGTCGATCAATATTAGTTGAATCCGCAGATGGAACCTCGAATTTGACAACCACTGGTTCATGTTGTCTTACATCTAAATGAACGAAATTGGGTAAGCAAACGCGTAAATTAGAACCTACATTGCATGTGATACTCCCTCCATATTATATTATTAAGCCGAACTTTTTGCTTAAGTTGGAAACCAGTACCCATAAAGTAACTCCAACGCGGACTGGTAACAGTTCTTCCTACATACGCAAGACTGAGGCTTTCGAAAAGTGAAGGAAGTGCATCAAATTCAACAGCCCTGCTCAGATCTTTGACCGTTTCAGCACTCTTTCTTATTACTGGCTCATCTTCGTCTCGTTCAGCGTCTGAGTCGTCCAGATTGCTCACCATGAATTGGCCGCTTTTTATTTCTGAGTGTTTTTTGACTTCACACATATTTTCTGCAAAAAATGCATTAAGAGATTGTGATTTATAAAAGATATACGAAACATATTTCAGTGCCTACTAATGTATGTAAACTGCACAAGTTCAAAACATTATTTTAAGTAAATAATTGTAGATGTTATAATGATACCTAGAGCACCGTAGCTTTCTAAATATCTGAAAGTATAAAAACCCTAAAGCTCTTTGACAAACGTTTTAAGTGAAGCTTCAAATCAAGCTGATCGCCGTAGCCTACGCGAAATCACAGGGGACATGCAATTAGATAGCCCCACAATTTCAAATCGTGCTCGTTATTTTGCTTGTTGGAAATAAATTATATATAATATTATTAATATTTGCCTAAAATTTTAGTCAAAGAATTATTAAAATTCATTATTAACTCAATTCCAAAGGTTGAAAATTTATTCTGTCAAATACCTATTTCACAATTAATTAAAAAATAAATATCAATCAGGCTTTGCAATGCAATCGAATTTTAACAGCGCCTAATCATCTTATGCCTTCACTTGCATTGAACTATTCATAATCGTTCGAGATGACGAACAATCCATCATTATTTGTCGATCAACATATATGTGAATATATTTATCGTGGCAATTTACAGGACAAACCAACAAGCTTTCTTATAATCAAAGAAATCAATATATTATCAATAGAGTATACTTAGACACAACTTTATTATTGCTTGAGTAAAATTAAAGAAGTTGGAGCTTCAATAAGTTATAAAATATATAATTACATTGAACTCAGAAAAATGAGTTCAAAGATAAAGAGCGAAGCTTTACGAGCACATTCAGTTTTATATTCAAATATTAAATCGTTTTTACTTTAATCATAAGTCGATTGTCAGAATCCCTTAACAGAACGAGAAAATATATAGACCAAATTTAATGGACTTATTAAAATGTTAATTAATAGGGTATATTATTTATAATCGTATATATATTTAGTAAATTAAGAAAATATGTTTTCTTTGTAACTTAATTATGTAAGTTGGAGAAGCTGCAATGTTCTGCAGCATATAATGGGCAAAGTGGGCAAGATATAACAGAAATTGTTATGCATATGTTGTTCTGGATAAATTTTGAAGAATGATATAGATTATATCTTCTAGAAATGTTGAAACACGCTACACTTTTTGACAAGTTTAAATACTCTTCATTTAGATCAGTAAAGATGATAAAATTAAGCACCTGAAGCCCACCTGAATCAGAGAAAAGAAAGGAATTGCGCAAGCTTTCATTTCGAATATCAGGCGACTTGGCTTGTATGCAGCCTAAAAAATACGACTAAGGTCAAGCAGATTAAATTTGCCACGTAGTCGTGCTTTTGTACATGTGTCCCCCCACGTTTTCGTAAAGAGGAGATTATGTCGAATTAAGGTTCAAATGTAGAATTTCTGCTTTCTAAAGTGATCGAAACTTGTATAACGAATGCGGTGTTCCAGAAATAGGCCACGTGTATGCCTTTTTTTTGGTGTTCAGTTCAATGTCAAGTAAAATGTTGGAAAATTTTCGAATCTATGCCCGTCCCCATATTTGATCTCCGAACTACCAGGAACTTAACCCAACGGATATCTTGATTGTTCAGCTGAAAAGAGTCGAAACAGCTTCTGCGACCTTGCCAGGATGAATGCTGACTCAGCTTGTTTCTAGTTCCAGGGCTAAAGTCTGTGCCATTGTCAAATTAAAGGCGTAAGCAACACAACTAACTGTTATTTTTAGTAAAATTCTTTGAAAATATTGCTGTTTCCCTGTCTATTGACTTTCCTTTAAATCTGCCAATTTTCATAGTTATTAACTACTTCATCACGTTGAGACTGTCATGTTTATCATCAGCACATTGTATATTTTCTAATGGCTAATGTAACTCTGCAAAAGCCGATGGAGTGCTGTATGTATGTGTGTATGTATTCACACCTTTGCACGATGCAAATCTTCATTTTATCGGCCAAGGTACTTTTAGCTTACTAAACAATATCTAATTGCAGTTCTAAGTCTTTCATATAATTTACTGTTGAATCTTAATTTACACTACTTAATTTTGAATTATTCTTTTGAAATGGAGAATGTAGTAACCAAAAGAACAATTCATATGGCAAATGAACATGGAGCCCACTTGTCGGGTGCAAAATATACCTCTAAAGACGAATCTCCTTCTATGCAATTAGGCCATTGAGTGCACAAAATTGCGGAAGTACTAGGTAAGTATTTGCAAATAGAACATTCATTCATTTCAAACGGCAGGCGTTTTGATAGTTATCAATAGCCCTTTAGCTGACTTCGGGCTTCACAGGGGAAGGAACATCAAAGTAACAGGAGTCGAGGGGTGGGGAACAGAAGAGTGATTTACAGTTGTAAAAGAGACAGACACAAAGGTAGAAAAAAGGTGAGGTGAGTACTGTTAATTAGGGAATCTAGTTTTCTTGAGGTTAATTAAAAAATCAATGATTATATCAACCGCCAACGCTGAACTTGAATCCGGAACTAATGTAAGACATTAGTCAAGATAAATATTTCGCATTAAATGCCAATTCATTCGTATTAGAAATGCGTTTTTTCAAATGCGAAAACCATGGCAAATCACA